GAGAGAGCGACAGATTATTGAAATAAAAGAAAAATCTTTCGTAAACTTCTCAAACGACTTTGTTACCCCCCCCCCCCCAAAAAAAAAAAAAAAAAAAAAGCCCAGTCGAGGAAACATAACACACACAGAAAACCTTAAATATGGAAATGTAAATGCTCATAATGATAATAAAAACCTCATGACCGTAGGATTAGAACATTTTATTTCCCCCTCGGCCCACTGACCTAGTTTTGCTCTGTGACAGGAATAATGTCAAAGTTAAAGTGCATGTGTCTGTGGAACTTCAAAGCAGATTAGAGCGCACAGTTAATCTACCTGTTTCATCCAACGCACACGAGCACACACATAATTATGTTTATGTATATATATGTATATAGAAAGGAAAAAGAAGAAAATATATATATATATACATATATGTATGTGTGTGTATACATTTATATATATATTATATATATATTTATATATATATATATATATAATATTTTATATAATATGTATGTATCTGTATATATTTCATATATATGTATTTATAGAGAGAGAGAGAGAGAGAGAGAGAAGAGAGAGGAGAGAGAGAGGAGAGAGAGAGAGAGAGAGAGAGAGCAGAGGCGCGAGCGCCTACACACGCACACGCAAATGGCATCGAGATTTTGCGCCCTTTTCTCTCTCTCTCTCTCTCTCCTCTCTCTCTCTCTCTCTCTCTCTCTCTCTCTCTCTTCTCTCTCTCTCTCTTCTCTCCCTCTCTCTCTCTCCCCTCCTCCCCTCTCCCTCTCCCTCTCCCTCTCCCTCTCCCTCTCCCTCTCCCCTCTCCCTTCTCCCTCCCCCTCCCCTCTCCCTCTCCCTTCTCCCTCTCTCTCTTTTGAGGTCTCCTGGATCCTGGATTAGGTAGGCCTGTCAGGGGAACCCGTTCAGTCGATTCATACTTGCGGCAAGAACTTTGAAGTCACAGAAGGTTTTACATCCCTTGGTAATGAAATCATGTCTCTGGACTGCCAGATCAGTAGACGGATTGGCCTTGCAGCAGGGGCCACGACCTCTGTCAACAAAAAGCATTTGTATAACTCGGTCCTTATGCAAAAAGGACAAACTTTCGTGTTTTCAAGGTCTTGGAACACCCAGTTTCGCTTTATGTAAGTGAAACCGGAATGCTATCTATCTTGCTGTCGCGTCTTGGTGTCTTTTGTAACAGGTCGCTACGGCCGGTCATGGGGCACATTTGGCAAGACCCAGACGTCCAGCAAAAGGCCACACCTTCAGACCGGCACAGGACCTGTTACTTGCATAATGCAGGACCGCCAACTCGGGCTATACGGGCACTCAACACTCCTGCCAAGATTAAGTAATGCTTTTGACTGATTGCTTGTTTGCTCTATCCTACATGGCAGGCAGTTTTCATTCAGTTGAACTGATGAAACAATTTAACATGCTTAACTTTCTCATTTCACTTATTTAATCATTTTTACTAAATGCATATTCTAACTTGAATCGATTGAGCTCACGCTTAACATATAATTCGTACGCATTAATTTTATCTTTATACTTTTTACAAAAAGAAAGGCATCAATCTAGCCGTGTTTCCCTTAAAAAAGATGGAATCGAGATACTTTCACAAGAAAGAAAACGAGCATTACAGGCTGGACTAATATAATCATAGACCTGTTATGCATTTTTTTTTCTCTTTCTCAGCTATAAATGTTTATAACATTAAAAACATATCTTGCAAAGTAAAACTGAGTGAGTGAGAAGTCTAGCTTCACCTATGTGGCCCGGCCAGTAACAACTTTATGCCTGGTACTTTTTTCCCGTTAAGTCGCCACGAAAACAGAAATAATGTATCTCAAAACAGACAGATGAAAGCTGCTGATGCCTTTCATGATGGTATTGGTGTTATTTTGTCTACTGATTTATTTTTTGACTAATTTCACGCCAAAGATTGCATGAAATTAAACAGACGTTACTTATCTTTTTAATAAATCGATTTAACAATCTAACTCGCTGGTTTTCCCGGGTTTAAGTTCGAAGATAATTTGTTCTAAAAGGGTATAGAATAGAAATGAGATAACCAAGATGGCTATAGACCAGTGATGGGAGAAGAAATATGAGAAATTGCAGTGTTGACGGTTTCTTGTCCGCGCTATCGAGGTCGAGGTCCCGGTTATCCCTGCCCCGTACATACCTTCTCTTCATGCTACTTCCTTTATGTCTCCTTCTCCTTTTCCTCTTCTTTCACTTCTTCCTCTGCTATTTCCTTCTCTTACTGCTGCTGTTCCTTCTTTAGCTATTCCATCTCTTATCCTATTCCGTGTAGGATATATACATCCCCACCATCCTGCAAGTTAAAACTAGTGCTGGCTCTCTTTAATGTTCCTGAAGAGTGGATAGCACTCTCTGCAGTATTAACACTAGTACCCTATACTGCATGCGATGAGGTACAAAAAGGCTGTTTTAATAGCTGTTAGTCTCCAAGATGCAGGGTAAGGGTAAAAATAAGGAGAGGAGGAGGAGAGAGGAGAGGGGAAGGAGGAGGAGGGAGGAGGAGACGGGAAGGAGGAGGAGGATGGGGAAGAGAGAGGAAGGAGAAGAAGAGGAGGAGGAGGAAGAAGAAGAAGAAGGGGGGAGAATGAGAGAGAGAGAGAGAAGAGAGAGAGAGAGAGAGAGAGAGAGGAGAGAGAGGAGAGAGAGAGAGAGAGAGAGAGAGAGAGAGAGAGAGAGAGAGAGAGAGAAAGAGAGGAGAGAGAAGGAGAAAGAGGAAAGAGAGGAGTGAGAGAGGAGAGGAGAGGGAAGGAGGAGAGGGGGGAGAGGGGAAAGAGGGGAGGAGAGGGGAGAGGAGGAGGAGGAGGAATATAATAGGGGAGAGAGGAAGGAGGAGGAGGAGGAAAAGGGGGAAGGAGGAAGGAGGAGGAGGAGAATAGGGGGAGAGGGAAGGAGGAGGAGGAGGAGAAGGGGAAAAGGAAGGAGGAGGAGAAGGAGAAGGAGGAGGGGAGGAGGAGGAGGAGGAGGAGAAAAAGAAGAAGAAGAGGAAGGTAGGGGAGAGGAGGAGGAAGAGAAGGGGGGAAGGGGAAGGAGGAGGAGAAAGTGGGGGAAAGGAGGAGAGGAGGGGAGGAGGAAGAGAAGGAAGGGAGGAGTAGAAAAAGAAGGAGGAGGGAGGAGGAAGAGCAATAAGAGAAGTAGAGGAGGAGGAGAGAATAGAAAAGGAGAGAGGAAAAGGGAGGAGAGGAAGAGGAGAGAGGGGGAGAAGAAGAAGAAGGAGGAGGAGGAGGGGGAGAAGAAGGAAGAAGAGGTGGAGGAAAAAGAGGAATAGGAGAGAAGGAAGAAGAGATTAAGTAAGAGAGAAGGTGGAGGAGGAGGAGAGGAGGTAGTGAGTTAGAGGAGAAGAAGAAGAAAAGGAAGAAGAAGAAGAAGAAGACAGAAGAAGAAGAAGAAGAAAGAAGAAGAAGAAGAAGAAGAAGAAGAAGAAGAAGAAGAAGAAGAAGAAGAAGAAAGAAGAAGAAGAAGAAGAAGAAGAAGAAGAAGAAGAAAAAAAGAAAGAAAAAAAGGAGGAGAAAAAAGAAAAAGAAAAAGAAAAAGAAAAAGAAAAAGAAAAAGAAAAAGAAAAAGAAAAGAAAAAAGAAAAAGGCAAGGCAAAAGGAAAAGGAAAGGAAAAGGAAAAGGAAATGAAAATGAAAAAGAAAAAAAAAAGGAAAAGGAAAAGGAAAAGGAAAAAGAAAAGGAGGGGAGAAGAGAGAAGAAGCAGCAGCAGAAGAAGAAGAAGAATATAAGCATAAAAAAGCAAAAACATTATTGCTTGCTCTTCCCAACTCTGCTGGTTTCATAAGCCGAAACAAAAGTTCCCTGAAAATAAATGTTGAGAATTTCTGCTGCTTTACGCTTTATATTTTTTGTGTTACTAATAAAGTTAATAATTCCACAAGGCAACGTACGTAACTGCAATACTGTAATCTTCGCCAAAAATATATGATTTGATGAAGAAAACAATAGCTTCCCTTGTGAAATTATTTTTCTTCACTGACATCCACTCTCTTTCTTAACAGAAGTTCACTGGAAGGTGTACAGTGCTTTTTCTTCAATAGCTACAAACACAGTAGTGTTTTGTCATTCAGACAAAATTACTTATATACATCGACTTGGAAAGTTTGATAGACTCAAATACTGTTCTAATAAATTTGCTAGAACTTTAGAAGCTTCATTATATATGTATACCATATATGACCATAAAGCGTATAAATATACACATACACAGGGTTCTGGGAGGTATAAGCTGATGAAATTTAATTTTTTAAGGCTTTTTAAGACTCATGCCAATTGCTTTTTAAGATCTGGAACCACATGTTGCTAATTACACACTTCCCCATAATGTGTAGGCCTACTTGTCGTGTCAGTGACCATGTGATTTTTACACAGCCTCCCAGAGAAATTGTGTGCCAAAATGATTTTTTTTCAGACAGCCCATAAGAAAATGGTCATCTGGATCAGCATCCGCTGCTAACAGATGTATGTACACTTGCACAGACAAGGATGTGCCTTAGCCAAATTTAAGATATTTTGAATCCTGCAAAAGAATGATCTCTGTTCTTTAAGACTTTTTAAAGGCTTAAATTTCCATTCACTTTCAAGTTTATCTGTAAGCATCCTGTCAATGTGTGAATTGTTAATTTTGACTCATGTATCTGCAGCACATGCCCCTAACTTTTATTGGTTGGTGCTTCAGATACAAGCGTCAAAGTATGGCTCAAACTGGAAATTCCGTAACATGAACTCGGATAAAAATATATTGAATGTATGCATGTGCATACAAACATGTGTTTATTGTTTTACTGTCTGTAACATATGTATGGTAGTGCATATAAATACATCTTTTTTACTTTATCTTTTTTAAATATCATAAACACCAGCAGCATGACTTTGAAAATTCTTTACCTTTTTCTTCTCATATTCATTTTTGTAGACACAATCTTCAATGACTGGTCTAACAGTTGTATACAAGAAAAGGTTTCAAACTACAATTTCCTGTTTTTCTTTACTTAAAAAAATACAATGTTGCACACATTATTCAACATGATTCGAATCTCCATATTCATAATGATATTTCAACAGTAGAAGCAACTTGTCTCCTTAAATCCAACAAGAATATTTAAACTCTTCCAGATCTTACAAAATATTCAATACAATACAAAGTTCATATTCTGTAACATCAACTCAACCCTAACATGCATCACAAAATAGAGATTCAAGAGTCTTACCCATGACTCATAAAATCAAAACGAGTTTCCAGTGACCATGAAAAGCAATAGTTTAAACTCCTACACATCAAGGCTCATGTAACATGCCTCTCTCTCCAGCTAGGGTATGTCTATGGACATAAGGACAGATGCCAGGTGATGTATATGTGCATGTTAATCATTTTTGGGCATGGTTGAATTAACAGTGTGCCGAACTAAAGGCTACGGTGTACTAGGACTTCTCACAGGAAGAGGCAGACATAGAGAACACTGGGTAGGGGTAGGAGGATGGGGAAGACTAGGAGGTGGAGGGGGAGTGGACAGAGTTTGTGGGCCGTGGACAGGGTGAACAAAGACCGGCTTCTGTCTACCATAGCCAAAGATGTGCCCCAGATCCAACAGGTTATGCTAGGATTGACCTTATGCCTTTCATCAGGTGCAAAATCCAACACCTAGATTTTCCTTTCTTTATACAAGAAACTTACTGGCTTTAAAGTCACAACTAAAAAAATTATAAAATACAAAATGAACTTAACATGCAAAATCCAAATACAGTTATTTATTTGTTATTAGATATCTTAAAAAATACATTTTGTTTGAATGCCACAAAGCTAAAAAGAAACATACCAAAACATCCTGATATTCTCGTACACTATAAATAATGCATAATAATCACATTCAGTCCAAATCATATTACTAAATCACATTTGAAAGTAGAGTAAAGCAACATCCACAATAAACACACAAAATAAAAGTTAAACTGCATGAAGAATTTGCAGCAAAAATGTTCTCAACATTTAAGCAGACACACTAGTTACCAAGACACAATCTTACTTTAGTCAACGTGATAGAATAGCACCTTCAATATTCAATAAAAAAAAGGGGGAAGGTAAAATGGAGATTATAACACAACACATTCCTATCATAAAACCTGTGAAATGAATTTGTCATTACATTTAGTGTCCATGAGTTTGTGTAATATACTTAGGATACAAGTACTCCATATTGCTCTCCAAATACATAAAATGTTTGATATACGAAGTACTACCAAATTAAGCACTGGGACTCTATCTGCTCACCTATTTATAAAAAAAAAGGAAAAAAAGAAAAAAAAAATATAAAATATCATGAAACATCAAAAGGATTATTATTAAAGTTCTTATTCAATCATAAGCTACCAAGAGGCAATTTCCCTAACCTTCTTAATCTCTCAATATGCAGGTCGTGCAAGAGTTTATTGAAGCTAAAATACTGATTGTTTTCAGTAGGATTCATATTGGGGTAGGCTATACTGAGAGACTCTGGCATGTCTCTGTTTAATATTTCCGTTGCCAACCTGTCTATTGCATGCACGTCGCCAACATCTTGTCCCGCACCATTCATCCCCGAGTCCAGCACACCATTGGTCAAACCATTGTGTAAAGGGACATTCGGCAAGTTTGTTGGTCTCCCTGAGTCACATGGTTGTGCAGGCAGGTTGTGTGAGGTAGTAGGTATGACAAGGCTGGGTGGCGTTGCTGTAAGCAGGCCAGACGAGTTGTCCAAGTGCAGGTTGTTGATGCGTTTGGAGAGAGGCTCCTCCTCTGGGATCTGATTTCTGACTCTCTTCATCGCAGAGCACACCGCTGGCTATCTGGAAGAGTGGAAAATTTTAATCATCTCTTAGATTCAAATATGCATCTATATTTTGGATATGAAATCAGAAGAAATGGATAATATCAGGTCAGTATACTAAAAATATCACCTTGTTGGATAGAATGTGAAATATCATTCAAATATAACAATAATATAGCTTTGTTAGTAATCCCTTCTTCATCAAGTTACCTGTGTTTGTCTCTAAATACAAACAATTCAAACTATGCTTCTAGCTCTCTTCTTATCCTAGAGTAAACAAATATGATGACAAGTAAAATGCCATCCTTGTTTTCAAACCATTTTTATATATTAGAAACCTAATGTTGCATAACACATCACACACTAACAGATGTTTCATATACTTGTCTTCTTCACAAGTACAATAGCATCTGGGCCACAACCATCACCTATGACATTTTTCTTTTGCATTCTCCTTTAAACAGCTACCACATATTATAAAAACACCCACTACAACAAT